AGATATTCTTCAGTTGTAAAAATGCTGCTCTTGCTTTGCCGATCCGTGCCTTCACATCTGCATCGGATCCATCGTGTTCATCGATGATACTGCCCAAATATGTAAAGGTTTTTACATCTTCCAAAGCTTCTCCGTCAGTTGTGATTGGATTGTTACATGCTGTGTTGTATCGAAGAATCTTGCTTTTCCCTTTGTGTATATTGAGACCTATTGCTGCTGAGGCTGCAGCTACACTGGTTGTCTTCTCCTGCATTTGTTGTTGCGTATGCGATAGAAGAGCCAGATCATCTGCGAAGTCTAGATCATCCAATTGCATACTAGCTATCCACTGTATCCCGTGCTTCCCTTCAGATGTTGATGTCTTCATGATCCAGTCGATCACCAGGAGAAAGAGAAAGGGTGAGAGTAAGCAACCTTGCCTGACACCGGTCTTTACTTCGAACGACTTTGTCAACTGTCCTCCATGAACGATTTTGCAGTTTAATCCATCGTAGGAATTCCAAATGATATTGACTATCTTCTGAGGCACGCCGTAGTGTCGAAGAAGGTTCCATAGGGTTGTTCTGTTCACGCTATCAAATGCTTTTTCGTAGTCAATGAAGTTCATATATAATATAGTTAATAAATATTCAATAAGAATATTATGTAATGATAGTTCCTAAATAATTCCCAACCGTTACCATTCATTTATTCTTCGTTCGGATATAACAAACATCAATGACAATATGGTAAAAGAAGAATAAGTCAAATTTGAGTAGCTATTATCTAATTTATGAAACTACTTAATGAAAAGTATTCGGGATCACTGGTCTGGGAATCGATAAGCTGTAGAAGGTGAGGCACTGGTCCTAATGATAGTACAAGTGAATTAATCAACATTTGGACTAGAGAACGAGTTTGTGCAACTACTTTTCTGCCAATACGGTTCACTTACACGGGACCCAATACAATCCAAAAAGAATTTACTCATTTACTGACATCTGTTACCCCTTATAGACCAAAGGCCATCAACCAGGATTCTCCAATCAACTCTGTCCTTAACACTTCTTTCTATTTATCGCCAAGTATGATACACTATTTTGATGTATGCCAGAACAAGCATACTGTATTTTTCCCTATATAACAAAACTATTCCTAGTACCTTTACACATACCATTAAAATGCTAACACTTGCTCCCAGACAATTAACATTTTTAATGGGTACTAAATAAGTTATTGAACTGTCATGGATATATTCTTCTCTAAATTAGTTTGTCAATCAATATATATATATATATATATATATATATATATATATATATATATATATATACTCTAAGTCTCAATCGTTATACTCTCTTTCTGTCTTGATAATAAAAGATTTGAAATAAGAATCAAAGTCGAGATATCTTCATTACTGTTGAATATTTAGACTAAACAGTAAATCATTCTTGTTCTACTTAAATTTTCTATACATATTCAAAGCGAAGAATATTGGAGCAAACAGTTGATTTCAATAACTTCATCACCAGGCTCTCTATAATTATTGTGATATTTTACAAAGGTCAAAACAAGGCATGTATTAATGAATTTGACTATGTTATATCTTGAAAATGGTGAACTTGTGAATCTGTTACAACATTTATACTTCAAAATTGTTATTAGAAAGGTCATTTAATAAAGGTCAGAATGATATGGAGTGGTGTTCAGACACAATCAATAAGAAAATGGACATTTTATTGTCTGTCAGAAGAGGATTTATGGATATTATAGTAATTTCAATCATAAGTCAATTGAAAGTAGACCACCATGAAAAAACTGGAAGCACTGGACAGACGTTCCGTCCTATTGTACGACTCCTCAGCAGTGCGCATCCACGGTCGAACCCAGGACCTGTCGGTCTTAAGTGTGGATACTTAACCTCTAGACCACTGAGCCGGCATCCAACAGTGTTAATGTCTAACTTTAACTAATCCACGAGGTCAAGCGACACATCCCCCATTCTCTAGCTTCGATTGACTCATGATCTCAACTATTGAAATTAGTTAATTTTCTGACTTACTTTGCTACCTAATAATAAACAGAGACTATATATAATCTTAGAATCTTATGAGAAATGATTGAAAAGAATATTCTTTGTTCATATAATTGTATTTTAAAGAAATTTATCAATTATAAGGGTTTTAATACAGGGAAGGAATTAATAGAAATGTGACTATAAAAAATGAGGGAATTAAAAAAAAGAATTTCGAAGATAATTTCAGTAATAAACATGGATCTAATGATTTGCAGATACAAATATCAATTGACATTAATTAATTTCAATCTGTAAAAAACAATTAGAAAAGTACGACTATGATAACCACATAACATTAGAAACAACTTGGCCGCCTGCTTGAACAACTGGGCTACATGTTCCTGTCATCTAGATATTTCAACAAATTATCTATTTTTGTTCATTTTAATACATTATTATATCTATTAATCGTATAATCTATTCAGATGCATCTCTTAATAGTGTACAAACTTTCGTTGTACAAGTTATAAAAGGTTCAATCAGAGATATCGTGGTTGCTGACAATATGCAATGAAAAGATTGTCTGTTTACTGGACTGTTAACATTTAATTGGTGATCACTCAATATTTGTCGTCAGTATCGACCAAGAAATAAGAAACAGAAACTTTTTGAAATACATTTTGCTGAGAATTCTATATTGTACCAAAAATATAATATTGAATAAAGTCACTAATAATAATAAATAAATAATAAAAGACTCTGAATAGTGCAATTAAACCACTTTACTGTATTTCTTTAACCTGATATTAAAAGTTCATGTTTATCCAAAGTTTTGTTGATAATAATCATACATCTAATGGCGCCATATATAATTTATAATTTCAGTTTATATTCCTAATATTTACTTTATAAATAATATAAATTTTTAGAGTTTAAATCATTGGGACCAATTAAAGTGGTTGATAGAATGTGTTTGCTATGACATACGATATCCGATAATTGATAATGATACCTAATCTTACTGTATACTAGTATAACCAACTAATTGAAGGAAAATCATAGTGAGAAAAAAAAACAATTCAGTAAATAAATCGACAGTATTACATATGTAATTATCCATTAGAACATTAAACCATTTCTAAAATAAGATAGAACATTTTTTGGATGATCATATGAACATGTCCCTTGGTCGACTTTTAATTTTCCCTAATGTTTTATTACTTGTTATATGTAACGTTTTTTATGCTTTCTCATGCTACACTTTCATGTTTAACAACACATAAACAAAAGACAAAAAATTATATTCTAATAATCTGTAGTTTTTCCAGCTTGTGTTGTCATTCAGTAGTGATGTGAAATGAGAGATAACGATGCAATGCCAAACAACGGAAGCAATCATTTAAGACATTTTCTTACTTATTACAAAATTCATCAAACATTAACATTTAGATTGAGTAAAGTAAGAACAATTAAACTAGCAGTCTAAAATTAATTCACTGTTTCTTATCAATTCCTTAGAACTTAAACATTATAACCAGAGAGGAGTTTTGTGGATATTATCCATCATTGTCGTCAGTGAGTTACTATTTCACAATAGACCCGGTTAGACTCCACTAGTCGCGGTATCTCAATAGAACTCTAGGAAATACCTATTGGAGATTGTCACTAGTGAGCATATGATGATTATAATCAGAGAGGGGTGTGTGGATATTATAGTAATTTTAATAGTGGAGTTCAACCGGGTATGTTGTGAGATTGTAACTCACTGATGACAATGGTGGACGGTGGAGCGACTTCGTGGATTGGTTGAAGTTAGACATTAACACTATTGGATGTCGGTTCAGAGGTTTAGAGTTTGAGCGTCCACGTGTGAGACCGATAGGTCCTGGGTTCGAATCTTGCGAGGCGGGATCAAAGATGCTCTTTGCTGAGGAGTCCCACAGTGGGACGAAATGACTGTTCAGTGCTTTTAGGTTTTCCAAAGTGGTCTATTTTCTGAATGGTAAGGTGATGTAGACAGGCTTTTTTTCCACCGATGCTACAGTAGGTCTCACTGCACCATGGACTTTCCATCTATTTTTGAATTTTAGAGGGTAACCATTTTCTATTAATGTTTTTTTTAGCAACTTAACATCATTATCAATGGCGTCATTTGTACAAATACGATCAAGCCTGTTGTCATATTCTCTTACTTGATCATTAAAAACACGAAATTCAGCAAAGGGATCTCCTGTCAATGAATTGATTATCGAGCTGTACAATCGTACATATACGAAGCATTTTTGTTAAACTACTAGTTCCGTGAGGAAATGTGAACAAGGAATAACAAAGATGATGTATTCTATTATATATGTCAAAAGTATTGTAATTTGAACGTGACCTTCGTATTTCTTTTTCCTACTCTAATATCTTAGTTTGGATACAACCATACTTTTTTCATACCTTATGCGTTGTGGTCTTGACTGACAAGTCAAATATTGATTCATTTTATTGACGTCGTGAACCGATCATTGAATATCGTTTATCGCATGGTTGTTTCTGTGTTATTTTTAATAAAAATTTTTTCATCTCGTTTAGTCCAATGAAATAATTAGTTTCAAAATGGTAATTGGTGGTTACTGATTCTTGAAAAGTGATATGAAACATAAATATTCCTTGACTGATCACCATTTCTCCAAACTATGAACGTAGATAACTTACAAATTTCTAGCTGTATTGTTTCGAACGTTGTCATGGACACCGAAATAGTATTCTTTATTACAATATATTGGATAGCGTTTGTTAATAAACGCGGAAGAACACATTTTTAAAAACAAGTTAGCCAATCAATTATTTTTAAATTTTTTTTCAATCACACTCAAAAGTTTTCATCACTAAAGTTTAGGAATCATAATAACCGTTCATTAAATGTTAGCTCCAATCATTCATTTTTTCATTCGAGTTCGATCAGGAATAAATCGAATCTATGGGTACAGCTGAATCATCGTGAGTTCCAGCCCCACATGCAAGATCGTAGATGCGCTCAAAACGGAACTTCCATACTAGAGTGAAACGGCTGTCTAGTGCTTTTACGTTTTCAATGGTAGTCTAGCATTGATCGATTCCTGATTTCAAATATAATCTCCAACAAAACAACTACTATTTATATCCTAGTGTTTAATGATTTATAAACTCATTCCAGTTCACGATGAAAACTAACTTGTTAATTGAATAAACATTGTTAAACCCCCTAAAAAAATTTTATGAAACAACCTTCAAAGCATTTTTCTCTCCTATTTACCATACAACTTTATATCCAAATATTAAAACAATAAAGAATCCATTAAAAAGAAATATCAACTTTTTTAAAACTAAACTGTTGATTTTTTTAATTGTATAAGGGTTAAGGGTAAAAGCATTGCAATAAACCATACAAAGTTTTGTAAATTGAAAGCAATAATCAAATACTGACACATATGTAAACTGTATTGCTGTTTTCTTGCTCACTTACATGCACATTAAAAATTAAAGATTCTCAGTATTTCTGTCCGTAAATATAAACATGTTGTAGGATTGTATTATATTTTGCTTTAAAAGAAAACAAAATGTATATCTAAATTAATTTATGAGAATAACTGAAAGAACGGGAAATGAATGTAGGTAACATTGAAAATTTAAATAACTAGAAACTAATACCAACTAATGTCAAGGTTGTATTCAAGGTTTTCCATGTATCTGATTCTGTATGTATGTATATATGTATGTATGTATGCATGTTTTCTTTACTAACTAAGCAGAAGTTTACAAAAAAAGAGACAATTTAACTAATAAAGATTTTCATTTGATCATTTGTTTCTTTTTTTTTTTTTGTTTTCTAGACGAAATGTGTATCTAAAGTCTAGTTTAGTAATAGAAATAAAAAATAAGCCGTTAATGTTTACATCAACTTTCATTTAACCGTTAAAAGAGAAACCAATATTACTCTTCATTTCTTTTGATGTAATAAGAATGTATGCACATACATAAACATAACAGAATAGAATAATTGATTAGGGCATGTATCAAGGTGAACTATACTAAATGAATGGTTGGTTGGTTGGTTGGTTGGTTAAATGCTTTCATCTCTAAGATATAGATAAATATAAACTTTGAATAAATTAAGTTAGAATTCATTAAATATCATCAACAAACAATGTAACATTTCGTTTTGTTATATTGACGGATGGAGAGAAGGTAACTGATTTACGCATTTTGTATAAGAAAGAAAACGAGAACTGTTAACGATAAATTAAGTGAATATGCATGCAATATATTGTCTAGTTGTTGTTCAGCGAGTGTAATTAAATGTAAACTATCTTGTTTTGTAATGGATTTTGCATTTTTGTATTTTGTTTTACTGGAGTCATGTCAAGTTGTGTGCTTTAGCGAATTCACCCGGTTACAATAATGAGTATGATAGTAATAATAATAGAGATAGTTGTGAAAGGGTAAGACATACATGAAGCCAAGTGCAAATGCTGAGAATATATTTAGTTTTGTCTGTTTGTAAAAGCTTAATGGTTGTTTAGAGTAAAATTAAACTGCAGATTAGTGTAATCTGAGATTACAATATTAGAATTCTCTCAAAATCAATATAAATATTTAATTGATTATTGATAAGCATTGATGATTCACTAATATATTTTTTGTTCTGTTTTATTTTATTATTTTGTGTTTGTCACAAAATGTATTAAAGTTGAATAGTGAAGTCTGCACTGACTGCATCAGAATAAGCCATTTGAGTAGGTGAAGGATCAGAGAATTGCATCATCTGAAAAAAATTAAACATCAGTTTAAGTGATAATTATAGTAATTTAGATAGAGTAGAAAGCATATGTCTGGCAGTGGAATCCAGGATACGTAGTTTGTTATGTGTGATACTTTTTATCTGGATTTACCTGCGTCCCACAGTTAATGTTCAACCCAGGATTCATAATCAGTACTCTCCAACTTAAACGTTCAACGCATTATCTGATAGGTTACTCAATTAGGGTAGACGACTTTTTCAATGGGTATGAATTCTAATTCAATTTGTACTGGTTTAGATTATCTCGTTGTCGAGATTTTGACTAAGTTTGGATTATTCTTAGTTGGCATATGTTCATCCTATGTAAATTGTCTAGATAAAGCCATAATATCACAAGTTTATATAGAATAAATAAAATATGGCTGGTTGATGTGTGTTAAAATAAATAAAATAGAATAAAATAAATAAAGTGGTTAATTTAAGTAGTAATAAAATATGCGCTCAATATATTTCAGTGTACACTTTGTTGCTCAATTATATAAAGAGATAGCATTCTGAAAAAGACAGATTATCGCTGGCTGTAAAGACGTTCGAATTTCAGTCTGAACTAAAGTTAGAGTGACTACTAATGTTCAATTTTTTAAAAGAAAAGGTAATTATCATACAAACTATTGGCTTTTATATCTATCCTTAAATAATAATAATAACCAATTATACCATTTAAAAAGTAAAAATATTATTACATAACAAGTTTGAGTACTGCAAAGAGGGAAGTTGTTACAAATTGTGCATTAATCCGGCAACTAGTAGGAATGATGAATTTAAACTACAGTTGTTTTAATATTATGTTTATTTTTTTGAATCATCATAGTCATACCCTCAAACATTATCGTTAAAGATAAAGATAAAAATGCGCACTGTTGAGGAGTCCCGAAATGGGACGAAATGGCCGTCTACTACTTCCAGTTTTTCCATAATGGTCTAGTTTCAATAGACTCATGATCTCAACTATTAAAATTACTATAATATCCACAAAACCCCTTCTGATACTAAAAAATATCACAGTCATTGTTATGTCAACCAAATAAACAATCTCTACAAACTTTTACTACTACTATGTGCATTAAATCCTAAAATTCAATGAATTTTAATAAGAACTTGTTAAAGTATTTTTCATCTTTCATGTTGATTTCTGACGTAAGCGTCTATAACTCCCAATAACTTGTAATCAAAATTATTTCTAGTTTGGTTAGAATCTTTTAGCATTTCTAATCATCTGTAACAAGCCAACGAATTAAAACTGAACTTGCCATCTTTCTTAATATTCAAGAAACATCAATCATGGATTATATCAATTATATTTTGACGATTCCAGGACTATAACAAAATCATTAATGGAAATAAATCTGAAGTTATGTAAAATTTATTTTAATCCATCCAAATGCATGTTTCAGGGCATTATATACTTCAGCTCCGTAACGAGTTTAATAGAAATAATTTACTGTACAGTTGATTATTCTTAATACTGAGAGGGACATTTCGACTTTAAATAACTATACGACATGATAATTATTTTTATCAACAGAAATCTTTTGTACTTCATTAATAGGGGATCGATCCACTTTATTTATCCGCAGCCGTTTTTGATACAGTGAAACAATACTTAACCAAGTGTTATTTCTCAATCATTTCAAGTAAGGTAACTGATTATGTAAGATAAATGGTTACTTCTGTTTCTTTTTTGGTTCGCTGCACTGTTCACTGTAATTGTAGTGGACGAGAATCCAGGTGGAGAAAACCAATTTATTATTTAACGCAAAATTACAGTGTCTTCATAAAATATGAAAACCATACATTAAATACATTATTTGCACATCTTCCATCAGTTGTCTTATACATACAGTGCTATTCTTTTAATTCGGTTGTTATTACAATTGATCTCTGTTTACGTTTTTGTTCTCTTCAATTCAATCTTTTTTAATCTCCTGCTGACAAATATTCCACTTCTGATTGTTGCTACATACTACTCAGTTCTGTCATCATAAGTAGGATACACCACATAATGAGTTGTTTGTGCTTTGAATGAGTTTAACTCCGTAAAAAAAGTGGTTATTCGTCTCTTCTGTTAAAAAATAACTAACTTTTTTGTCAGTCAATAAACTCTCGACTATTTTTTTTATTTAAATGAAGGGAAGAATATTCTATTTCCACAGACTGACATCACCTTTGAAACTACTGATGAATAAAGGATACTGGATAGCTGTTCTATCCTTGTTTCAGATTTCACATCAGTGTACAGTTAGTCAACAAATGATGAAACTTTACTAGAATCTTAATTTAGTGACAAAGATTCTTCAGTTTATACTGATCCATGATAAAAAAATTACCTTTAGATTGAATCATTTGCATGGATAGATATGTTATTGAAACAACAATCGTAAAATATATCTATTTGAAATGATCTCGATTCATATTAGTTAAAAGTAGTTATAACCACCACTAAACAATAAGAATAATTAGAAATAATAACAAATAGCTACGATGAAAATGTCTAAGTCTACAATATTCAGATGAGCAAGCATAAACATGCACACATACATACACACACATATAGAAGGATCTACGTATGAAAGATAAAAGTTGATGGATGAATGTACTTGTATCAAGAAAAGTCGAATTTTTCTATTGGAAAATATGGATTCATGCGAGTTGATGAAGTCGATTGTTAAAGATGATAATAATGACAATGATAATGATCATTATCATTATTATGATAACAATTATATCGGGAGAGTGCAATATAAAAGAAATCACTTCATACTGTTCATCATACACATGCAATAAAAACTACTGCATTATTCATGTACAGATGATCAGTGTAAAACTCAAGGAGAAATATATGAAGGTCAAGGATACACACAGGTAAGAATAATAAGGTAAAATATTATGTTAGTTTGCAAACTACCTAAAATGACTTTTTACTAAATGATAATCAGTGAAATGAACTAGGAATAAATTTAGAAAATCTACTATTATAGATAAAGCGCATCTATTTTAAGTAACTTACTGTGTTGACAAAACCTATGAATTAGTCTGACTTGATTGATACAAGAAAATTATGTGTAAGTTGATCATCAAAGTTCATTGTAAATTAATGTATATCATTTACAGATCACAGGATTTACGTACTCACTATCAAGTCAAACTGTTTATATAACCGGTAGTGATACTAAAATGATGCCTACACCACGTTAAGTAAAATAGTATTAGTAGCTAGAACAAAATGATCGGAAGTCTAATGTATTTTGGTGATGAAGCTACTGATCCAGATTTTTAGCAGTAGTAGTGTAGTGAACGAGAATATAAGTGGGGACAACCAAATGTATTCTGATACAGCATTGCAGAATAGCTTTGTAAAATCTGAGAACTATACAGTAAATACTTCATTTGCAAAATATCCAGAAACTGTCTCAGACTTTGTTGTTCCTTCGTTTCCATACCCATCACTCTCTGTTCTCGTTCTCTTTTCTTTGATTTTTTCAACCTTCTGACGCCAAGCATTCTACTTTCGACTGGTAATACACACTACTTATATCTGTCGTCATCAGTAGCACCCATCACAGTAGTAGTTCTGATCTTATTTTTATAAAAGATTTTAAAGAAAATATAAATTTAGCATTCCAAAATAATAAAAACGTAGATCTTGAGAAGTTTTCGTGTATATCTTGCTGATAATACTATGATCAATAAATTTTGCATGAATTTTCCATATTCAAATTTGAAAATGAACTATTCCTTAAATTTTCAACAAGAATCTGTCAAAATACTTAAACTGTCCAAGTTGAATACAACATAGTGATACCCTTATTGTTATGAGATAGTTATTAATTTCATGAAGAGATTTTCTATAGGTACCCATTCAGTTTACACTGTGTCGTCATCAGTTCGATAAGTTTATTTTATCTGTTGTAAGTACTCCAAGTAATAGCAAACAGCTAAGTCACAATAATAAAGAGATCACTACTATTTTATTCCGATGATAGAATTGACATATATTGAATTTGAACACTATACAGCTATCTGGTTGATAGACAAGACAGCTAGTCCTTACTGAAGCATACTAGCCAAATTACGTATAGAATGTCAATCAGGACTCGTAATATCATAGTGTATAAAGCTGACAATGAGGCAAATGTATGTCAGTTGTAGCTAACCGTTGATAACTGTATTGTGGTCTAGTAATCAATTTTTTTTAACATTTTCACTTTTTTCTAAGTAATAGAGCTTTCTGGGGATAACGACGAGCTTGATTTCTGAAAGTGTTCAACACTTCAACTATATTTTTCAATTAAAATTCAGTCGAAATCAGTGTGCTGTTTCCTATTGTTGCGGTTCATATAAAAGAGAATGAGAAACTAAGCACTTTGACATGAAGCATTAAAAAAATCTATTTCATCAATATACAGCACAACATGTTTAACACAAATATTGTTAGTTTGACCAAATGATGGATAAAACCGATAACAAGAAACAAGATTTGACTGTTAATAGCAGCTGAAGTTTACTACGGTTTAGACATTGAGGACTTAGTCATAAGGGCTATCGAGGAAATGCTTAAATTTACGGTCTGTGTTCATCGTTGAGCATTCATACAGACTGTCGGGAAGTTATACACATCTATGTATGTTACTATTGTTATAGCTTCAATAACTTAAACCAACTATTATTTCTCATTGCTGTCTGTACAACAGCAAAACGGATCTTGATGTGGACACAGTCCTGTTGTGTATTCCCTTTGCATTAATAGCTTAGTGTTTGCTTTTGATGGACTGAAAAAGCGAAATTCAATGGTGTTGGATAAGACATTAGTTAGAATAACAGAAACATCAGGTCAAATAACTTGTGTTCTTTAGATTACTCAGGCCTGAAATACTCGCCTAATTATAAAGTACTATGACGAATAAATTTCAATCGATATACAGTTATTAAGTAGAATGAAAGCTCACTATCAAAATAACACGAAGAGAAATGACCCAGCTGTTCAATCAATACACAGGAAGTATGCAAACTTATTCCACCTGAAAATCGCTCTCTTAGTGTCATGATTTTCGTTTGGCGCTTGTTCTTAGCATATACATTTCGCCAGTCTATGTAAATAAATAGGAAACATAATTGTAGACGGTAGCGGAAATTTATTCTGAAAGTCTGAAAAACAATCTTTCTATGGATGTAGTGATAGTTATTCATTTTTAGTATTCAGAGGTGGTTGGATAATATTAGCTTGAAACATTTTGGGCAACCTTTACATTATTGACTAGACCACGACTGAAAACCAGGAAGTACTGTAAAACTGTTTCGCCTCAGTATTGGGGCTCCCCAGCGGTACATATTAGCAACAACACATTACAGAGCACCGAACCAAAGACTTTCATTTTATGACTTAAATTATGCACACTCTACAATCCCCAAAAACTCTGATGCACCGACATCTGTATTTATAGTTACCAAACAGACAACATTTATAAGCAAGAGAAAGTTAGTAAACACCACTAATAGAATAACTTACAGAATTCACAATCGGTGGTGACATTAAAGGCGATGACGGCGGTGGGGGCAATGTCACATTTTGAGCAACAGGTGCCACAGATGGTGGTGGTGGTGGCGGCGGTGGTGGTGGTGTCGGCTTAGCAGGAGATGGAACATTCCGTGGTGATTCAACTGGTGTTTGTGTTTGTCCAGGTGGACTAATTGTTAATGGCTGTAACATTTGTATGGGCGGTGAAGGCTGGTCCGGACGTTGATTCTATAAAAGAAGAAGGCAGTCTTACAGTCCCAACCTTACAGGAGATCGGTAGCAACTTAGATAGCTTAGTCGTAAGCAGCAACCGTGAAGCTGGTTGACACTAAATCATATACTCCAGGAACTATCAGTTTTGTCAAGATTAGTTTCGAAAGCTCAAAGCCCAGGCAAAGCAGAGTTCCCTGTTAACTACATCCAAACACCACCTTACAAACAATCTACTTATTCATGGCATCTTCCATTACCAATCTTCTACAGTTTGTCAACTGTCTAGTTGAGTGATCAATAAGTACATTATTCTCCATATATCAAGAATTATGAGCGAGATGTTACACCCATAAGTAAGGTATACTGAAGTTATCATCTACTAAGTATCATTTAGAAAATGAATAGTTTTGTTGTGCATTGTCAGTTAGTTTAATATTAGACTGCAGTGAATAGATCAGTCGTCCATCTTTTTGGAAAAGTAATAACTAGAATCTAATTTTTATTCAAGTATTTAACCGGTAAACGACCATAGTACAATGAAATTTTTAAGCTCTCTAATTGCTTACAACACAAATATTTAAAAGTCTAAAAATTGAACTGAATAAAGTTTATTCTTAACACTTAATCAGTTGTTGCGTTATACCGAATAAATACTTACAGGTGCTGCATTGAACCTGATCACTGTTGTATTCAGCTGTTGCTGCTGTTGTGGTGGTGGTACCGGAGCTTGAAATTGCGGTCCGGGCGTTGGTTTTTGCATTGATGGCTGCTTAAGTACATGAGAAAAGTGTTTATATCAGTATGCGAAAATAGTTATTTTTTCAACTCGAAAGCTATAACAAGAAAAAATTGTATAACCTATCTCTCTCTCACGCACGCTAATCCAATTATCGATCAGTTCACCTATATTGCCAGTAGGGCAAATAACCTCCTGTCTACCAGTCGGCACATTGACCAATCATTAACCAGCAAGACTAAAGATTTTTGTTCCTCAAGTTCTATTTAACCCAATAGCTTATTAGAAGACGAAGATGGACAGCAGATCCGTTCTTTGTTACAATTAATTTAATCATGACTGAAAACTCATACAGGAATATGACTACAATAATCAGACCACATAGAAACATATTTAGGGAAATACGGTGTGTGTATAACTTGGTTATGTGATACAAAACATAGCTTTCAGTTGGGGGTTGTGGAGGTTGTTGAATTTCATTGAATCCATGAATCGATTAATTTTAGACCACCATTGGAAACCTGGGGACCTAGGACTGCACGTTCGTCCTAGAATGGAACTCAGCAGTGCACACCCATGGCTGTGCATGGGGGATTTAAACGTAGCACCTTCGGCCTAGAGCGCGAATGCTTGACCTCTACATCACTGAACCAGAGTACACTGGCGTTAATGTTTGACTTCAACCAATGTGCAATGTCGCGCGAACATCTTCCGTTGCCTAGGACGAATTGGTCGTTCAGTGCCTCCAGGTTTGCAAAAGTAGCCTAACAATGTTCGGTTCATGGTTTCCATGGAAACCATAGTTACAGAGGAATAAATACTTAGTGATAAATCTGGAATAATAATATATGCGATGACATAAGTCAAACAAAAGCTTTTACACAGGAGAAGATAAAAGCACAACAGTAAAAACATCCAATAATTATACAATAAAATATCGGTAAGAATCCTTCGTATCATAAACTTAAAAGTTATGCTTCCGCACTGTTCGTCCTAATAAATTGACAATCCTACATGGGTGGAATTCTAAAATACATCAGTTTACAAGAAGTTGTCAGAAGACACGAATATGTGTTCGCTTAAAATTGTGTAAACTTTTGAAGTCATTCCTAGGAGAAAGGTAAGTGTATCTTTACACTGTAACTGCGCTTCGGAACGCTTCAAGTTAAGAAAAGAAGTACAGAAAGCTCTTATGGGTCAAAACTAATCATGTGAACAGGATATTTGATGGAATAACTACCATTTTTCTTTAAAAGACTATTATTAAATATAAACTATTGACTAACTCAGTATGTCAATAGTCGTAATATCTCAAAAACACGTACGTGTTCAAAATGTTAGATTATCATCAATAAAAGCTCATTTACTTGGAAATTTTGTTGTTGGTGTTGTTGTTGTTGTTGTGCCTGATACTGTTGTGTATTTGGTGCTGTTGTTTGTCTTTGATACTGAACATTATTTGGTTGAACATTTTGTAGTTGAGGTTGCGAAGGTGGTGGTGTTCTTGGTGGTACACTAGAACGTCTATTAGTACGTAATTGAGATTGAACACGTGAATAGAGATTTTCTGTTTCTTCAACATCTACACCAGCAGCAGATCGACCACGAATTTCAAGTGCTTAAAAAAATAGATGCATGAAAAATTTCGAGCAACTTTCCTAATTAACTAACGTTACCAGATGACAATAAAAAAAGAAATAAGAAGCATTGGAAAAATGTTGTTTTTGCAACTCTTCACCTGTAAGTACTAGCGCAGATCTTTAAATCTTATATTGTGACTTGGATAATATAATTTACTGTAGATAAACAAATCAAAAACCCAAATTTTAAAAATTCCCATATTGTGAATTAGAACAACATAGATAAGCGAATATTATTGTTTTGAAGTGGATCCTCATAAGGCATTACTCTAACCTACAGTAATTTTTCTATGTACACACGAAATTATTAAACCAATCATCACATAAACATATGACAGGTGTACAAGTTGTAATAGGAATAACAAGGGCTTGAATCAATGTTTCATAATAGGAAATAGGTCAGTGACTTGAAATATTCATACACTGAAATATCATTAATAAAAATTTTACGATAATGTAATATGAAGTGTTCAATGAAGCGTAATTTGAGAAATGAAAAAAAACCTGGTGAGTGATGAAAAACAAATGGGAAAAGAGTATAGAAAATAATGAGTAAAATTTTTTTCTGTTGAGGTTAATTCGGTCAAGGATGAGACAAAGGTGTTACAAATTTCCTATCAATACAAAGATTTGGATTATTAGCTTCTGCTATATATAAGAGATGCGATCGAATCCCATAAGAAAAACTAGCCGGAATACGATAAATCACTTTGAATAACCTATTTCTGTCTACTGCATAACCGCTATCGATCGAGTGTGGTAGAACGGAGCTCCGTATTGTTTTGACGATAACCTTTCTTAACCACAAAGGAGGCATTCACTAACTTGTTGGCTCGGTTGTCTGGCCGTGCGCCTAATGTAGCTATCGTCATAAGAGAAGCTGAATTCGTAGATACATATAAATGTTTTAGTATTTGAATGCATGCGTCGATCTAAGCTATACAACCATTGAAGACCGTTTCGTCCTAGTATGGGACTCCTCAGCAGAGCGTATTCACGAACGCTCATGCAAGACACAGGACCAGGTAACTTATCTTTTAGTTGAGGAGTCATCCTAGTTAGGGTTTAGAATAACAGACAGAGGTTAGCTGCACTAAACATATTCTTCAATGCCCTTGCCTGATGAAGATCTAGTTGAAAACAATATTGTTCGCTTGTAAATGTTGTCGTAAGAACTTAAGATTGATGTTTTTACGATTCAATCTAGAAGCTGTGATATTTTCACAGTCTAATATGGATAAACTACCTGCAAATTTGTTACTCATTTGATAAACGGTTTTTCATTATATGCTTTACTACAATACTTAGTGGTTTAGTTCATACATATTTTCAACTAAAAAACACCATAATCCAGCATGAATATTTATAACTTAATTTGAGAAACATTACTTTTCAGATTTCAAAATAAACAATCAGAGAGAATACTTGTATTAATCCAATGACTTTGTGGGAAGTTAAATATAAACCTGATACGATAACAGAGCATTGAAAATGCTCTTAGATTTGTCATGCCATCCAAACAAAATGATTTTACATATCTAGTTTGAAGATTGTATCTGCGGGATAGTTATTGTTCAACAGAATCAACTACTCTAAGACAGTTGTCAGTTTTCACATATATGTATGTATGTGTGAGTGAGAGTATAACGAAAATGAATAATGTGTAAACATGAAGTAAAAATGAAAAATGGAAACACTTGAACTTACCTCGTTCTAAACGTCGTAAATCAAGCGCTTGAGCCTTTGGTTTACGAAAAGCTGATGAAAGTTCATCACTACATTTTACCTTCTTCAATTGTGCAAGTTTTTTAAATGGATTTTCTACATTATGAACATTAAAATTAAATAATTTATTCAAATACAATCTTGAAGTGTTAGAAATTATTGAAATAAAAATCCTAAATATTTCTTTATAATCAATAACAAAGAAAAAGCAAAAATTACATTGTTACGGATACAAATTGTACAGTATCGTGAGACATGATTCATCAGTCAAAAGCCTAGTTATAATTTCGTTACTTCATGTATATAACTACTTTGAAGATCGTCTAACGTTCTAAGCTTCGACTAATTCTGCCTCCAAATGCACTGGTACGGCCGAGGGTGGAAAGAGTTCGGTCTTCCTCTCAAAATACTCTTACATGGCCACGCGTACACAGCCACTGTCAGGAAAGTTCTACTCACTGCCTGCTCGCTGCATAACTATTGTTTACGAAAGTGAGAGGACGAAAAGAGAATAACCCGGCGCATTACCCGGGTTGGTTGGTGAATATGGATGATCCATCTAGGGGAGTTGGAAAACCTTGATTTCAAACCAATGGTGTACATGCAATCCAGGATCCTGAGGGAACAAATGGCGTATGAACCGATCGTTGGTGGCCGGCTACCATGGGACTGAATTTCCTGATGTTCCTCCACTGCTTTGTGGGTCAGACCTTTAGGTCAAAGGCTCCGGGTGTGGCCCTCGAAGAAAACCATCTGCTTCAGTCTAAGCTTCCGGGCAGTATCACAGCCTACATAAAAATCAAGTGACTTGTGTGGCTCATATGTATTCTGTGCCGCATTGTGTTCAAATAAATAAATAAATATAATTTGATTAATTCTACACTTTGACTGGTTAGATTAATCATGAGTTGAGCCGAGATTAAACGGTTCAAAACGTCCGAATAAGTGAACAAAGTAGTCAAGATTTTATTATCAAATTTCAACCACCAAGTATATCTTTTTCAAAAACTTATCACTTTATATACATGACTTATCAGACCACAATGCACCTCGAATTTGAAGTCATACTTTACAGATAATTACGCTATAAGAGAACGGAACAATAATTATGGGATAATGAAACGTATTACCATAGTTAATAGTTCGAACAATAACTTACATTCCGGTGAATGTAAAAATACAATAAATCACTTATCTAACAACGATATGATTAAAACATAGACAATAACAATCTATAAGATAATCCCGAAAGTTTTGATGTCTTTAATACTCAGCTTGCTGTAACACATGTTATGACTTCTCAATCTTAAACTGATTGTAAGCATACACTTTTCTACTATGTAAATAACGTAAAGGAAAAAAATAAGATACTTGAATTTATATAGAATAAATGGAATGTGGCTTGCAGTGGGATCTGTGATTCGCGTTTCGTCTTACCCGAGAATCATTAGCCGATTGAATCTGCATTTCATAGTTGACTAAATTTCAATAAAAATATCAATAACGGGACCATTCAAACGACTCAAATCAAATTAATACACTTAAACTGTATCAAAATCCGGTTGTATTACCTTCTCTCAGCATTGATAATTTTGCATAAATCGTCTATATAGTATCAGTGGCCTGGCGATCGATGACATGCTAATAAGGAGATAACAGCTGAGAACAAAACCTAAAGATTATTGGTCTAAAATGCAGTTCTACATTCGCTCACCCAACTGCTAGAAGATAACTCAGAATAAAAATCATATTACGATGAATTAACTCTCTAAAACGTACCTAGATTTATTAAAGAGACATTGATGGGTAATCATAGCTCTAGTATAATTTCATTATGTATTACTTACTTACTTACTTACGCCTGTTACTCCTCGTGAAGGAGCATAGGCCGCTCACCAGCATTCTCAATTCAACCCTGTCCTGGGCAATCCTTTCAAGCTCTTTCCAGTTCTTATTCATCCTTTTCATATCTGCTTCTATTTCCCGACGTAATGTGTTCTTTAGCCTTCCTCTTTTCCGCTCCCCTTCAGGATTCCAAGTTAGCGCTTGTCTCGTAATGCAGTTTGATGATTTCCTCAATGTATGTCCTATCTATTTCCATCGTCTTTTCCTAATTTCCTCTTCCGCTGGAAGCTGGTTGGTTCTCTCCCACAAAAGGCTGTTGCTGATGGTATCCGGCCAATGGATGTTGAGTATCATGCGTAGACAGCTATTGATAAATACCTGTACCTTCTTGATGGTGGTTGTTGTAGTTCTCCAAGTTTCGTCTCCGTACAGTAGAACTGCCTTGACGTTGGTATTGAAGATTCTGACTTTGATATTGGTTGAAAGTTGTTTTGAGTCCCATATGTTCTTCAGTTGAAGGAATGCCGCTCCAGCTTTGCCAATCCTCGCCTTGACGTCTGCATCTGAACCTCCTTGTTTATCGACGATGCTTCCCACATTATGTATTGTCCTTACAATTTTATTTCATGCAGATATCATATAAACTATAAAGATCAAAAGTGATATTTATGTCCTGCCATAGTCGACAGTTGACTTTCAATTGCCTTATTGATTTTAATAAATTAATTAGTTTACTTCTTCCCCTCTCATCATTAAAACAGATCCAAACCTTTTCTTGTCTCTTTAGTAACATTGTTTATCAGCCAGTTTTCTAGTTATTTTACATAAAAGAATTATAAGTTGCCTTATTATGGAACAACAACTCAACTTATTTATTTGACAAAGGTTTTTCTGTTAGGATTATTATTTATTTCACAGTTCTATGACAGACATTTAACCTTGTATATGTAGAGTAATACTGTGATCAAACTATGATGCCTAGCTAAGAAGTAGATTACTTAAACGTATTTTTATTTCACCTAATGTTAGTTTAAAGCTTTGTGATTCTATGTTTTGTGGTGCTTGACACTCATCAGAGACAAATAATTTCAATCTTCAAAGATCTGAGTTCTTTCGTGGAATTTGAATACATGTATCCCCATTACATATTCAGAAAAATCTGTATGCAATGTCTCCCTATAGAATTGCTATTCTTACGATGGTTAACAATAGAAAATATCTCTCAAAAATATTGCCACTACAAAAAAATTATTTTCGTACAAAAAACAAAGTGAACTACATTTTAAAATAAACAACAGTCAAATATCAATTGTTTGATCGTAAGTTAAGTAAAATGTACTTTCTATTCAATGACAAGTATTAAATGTTACTAATGTGACATTTTAATGAACACATGTTACAATATTATACACGTTATTTTTCTTTCTTTTTTTTCACCTTCGTAACACAGTATACACTATTATCTTACAAACTATTCTATGTGGAGGGATATTTTCTTCCTTTTTATATCAAATTCTTTTGACAGTTAAACTATATAAGAAAGGTGTAAATTAATTTCAATATAAAGCATATATGAAAAGTTTTGTTACATTGGAAAAAAGGACAGATAGCTTGTTTGGATAAATATCAAAAGAATAAATAGTACTTGGTAACAACTAGAAAGGAGAGCCCAAGATAGAACAGGTTAGTTGAATTCTGGTCAGCAGCCTATGCTTTCCAAGAAGTAACTGACATATCGCATCAAAAGAAAATATTATTATACAGACGTTTTATCAAAATAATTATTAAATTTAGATCTTATAGTTCATCCATTAACCCGTGAACTTTAATCTCACTTATCAGGTGATATCAGGTATGTTCTACTTTTGGACTTTTATGAGGTGTCTAAATGACATAAAAACATAAATTTATAGGGTAAAATATAATTGTACATTATACTCATCCTAAGTTAAGTTGTACAGTATGATCAAATAATAAAATCCTATTTGTTTTGAAAAAGTAAACAAGATTCTGACATTTTGATTGAGATTATGAACCGATTGGTGTTAGACCACCATTGAAAACCTGGAAGCACTAGACGGCCGTTTCGCCCCATTGTGGGACTCCTCGGCATTGAGCAACTACGATCTCACTCACGGTATTCCAACCCAGAGCCTTCAGTCTAACACGCGAACTCTTTAACTCTAGACCACTTAGTCGGCATCCAACAATGTAAATATCTAACCTCGATCAATCCATGAAAATTGAGCGACCATCTTCCATTGTACTGAGGTAGATAACTGTCTCTACCAGACACGGATGAGCTCCATTGGTCACGGTTTCTCACTAGAACTCCAAGAATCCCCTCACGAATCTAGTCACTAGTGAACATCAATCGATTCATGATCTCAATCAAAAACTTAATAATCTCTACAACCCTATAATGATAAGATTGTGACTTCTAAAAATGCAAAAAAGGTGAGATTAGTGTTCATTATAGCTGGAAGAGTAGAAAAAAGAAAATAACTGAGAAGAATGAGTTCATGTCAAATATATCTAAACATATTCAGAAAATTTAAATCTATTTACCTGGTTCAACATGACGTAGATCTGGTCTAAAGTCTAATTGTGGTTCAATAATCAATATTGTTTCAGCAGCAGCTTCACCCATATTATTTCTTGCAACAGCTTTAATATGCAATTCACCAGGTGTACCAACACGATGAAATTCTAAATTACTAATACCACCATCCTGAAATATTCTCCAATTTCCTCCACCCCCAGACTGATGATAGACAGGTGATTGGAAACAATAAAAATTCATAGTTTACATTATTATGTATGTTTTTATGTATTGAAAACGGCGTTTTTCATGTTGTTTATTAATACATATACTATATGTGATTAGGTTGAAATAGAATTGATGTCTCAGCTAGAAATTCACTCAGTAAATATTCTATTACTATCATGTTATCTTAAGCATCACCACTGTAATACTGAAAATCAAATTGATGTTTATACCATTGTGAACAGCGATTAATTTGTCAGTTGGAACTTGATTTCAGAGAACGAGCTAATCTTAATAATGTTTATAATTCACTTCATTACCACTCGTTAAGTAATGATAAAGTTTATGATAGTAGAGCCAACAATCTATGTTGCTTCATACTTAAACCATCTAGCTTAGAGAGTAAAACATCTCGAACATTTGTATTATATGCTATAAATATTCCTCCATCATGTCAAGATGAATAATTTAATATTATCTATTCCAACTTGTAGAAAACATGAAAAATAGTAGGTACCATATAGACACCTATGCACGTAATTTTCCGTAGCTGACATAAAAAACAAATTTTTAACATACTAGTTGGTTGAATTAAATGTAAACATAATTTTTTCCAGAACAACCTAATTAATACCTTAAAGTTATCATACAGAATTCGAAATCTTAATGATCAATATATATGCAAAATACAGATCTCGGTTACTGTCAAGAGAAAGATAGAAATTTGATTTCAACATAAATGTTTGCTTTCAGTTTTATAGAATCATAACATGTAAATAGTTTTATTCATAGAATAACAATTGGTTGAAGATCAATGCTATGTTGTCCCATCCTGAGTATATATCAAAGTCTCAGAATCGTGTTCCAACGTGATCTGTTTAAGTGACTTAACACCATGGTGTGCGTCTAGATATTTTAGACGGCCAGAGTTAATCCAAAAAAACTCCCAGACTTATTTGGTACTTGTCAATACAATGCAACCGTGATCGTTAGGGCACGGATTTTCAAGTGAAATGGGATTGAACTCTAATCAGATTGTATGTCAGAAATTTCAACTGAGTTATTCATGATAGACAACACAAAATTGGTAGTTATATTTTGTCAATTTTGTGCCCCGTTTCAATTATATGTTTCGCTATCGATTAACATGGTTTTCTACGTTGATCGGATCATTTGACACTAATTGGTTTTGAAGCCATCTAGGCACATGTTCCATGACCCTTGAATGCATTGTTCGATTACTCCTCCCTATGTATGTGTGTCATACTTTGGCCGATTGTGATCTTAACATCTACATCCTACAAGAGATCTATCATGATCTAATTTCTTCGTACCACCATCTATGGTTACTAGGTGACCTTTCAAAAGTGATCTGAATGTCAGACACCAATATATATTACTATATATCATAACTATAAAGTTACCATCGTCACAACATAGAACAACATTATTTCTAGTTGGGAATGAAGAGTCTTACAATACACTCTCATTAATCACCATATATTTATATTTAAATTTCATTAAAATCAATTAAATTTTCCAAATGTCTTAAATAATATGATTGTTGAGAGATAGTTAAAAATATTCCGATTATATGGTCTCATGCTCAGATTTAATTTTGTTGAGTTTCTGACTGATTACTGTTTTAAGAGAAAATAATGAAGTAGATTGTTAATTAGATCAACTTTCATCTATTCAGTATCGATTTTATTCATTGTTATCTTATTTATTAGCATAGAGCCTTAATGAAAAACTAGTTGAGAATAAATGTTCCTTCGGTCGACTTTTGTTTCGAATGTCTTAATCAGAATATTTACATTTAAATAACATTCTGTTATGAAAGAATAAGAATTAACAGAAAGGTTTTTTGGAGATTGTAATAATTTAATAGTTGGATTCATGATTTGATTAAAGCTAGACCACCACTGAAAACCTGGAAGCACTAGACGGCCGTTCCGTCTTAGTACGGAACTCTTCAGAGGTGCGCATCCATGATCCCGCCAGCAGGATTCAAACCCAGGACTTTCAACACACAATAGAATACGTTAGACATGAACATCGTCGGATGTTGGCTCAGTAGTCTGGAGGTTAGGCATTCTCGAGCGAGACCGATAGGTCATGGGTTCGAATCCAGCGGGTGGGATCGCGGATGTGCACTTCTGAGGAGTCCCGTATTAGGACGAAACGACCGTTCAGTGCTTCCAGTTATTCCATTGTGGTCTAGCTTTAATGGACTAATGAATTAAGCTATCAAATAAGAATTAAGTTTGATATCAAGCAACTGAATATAAATGTTCAGTATTATTTTTGAAATTAACAGTATGAGATTAGTAAAGAAAGTACAAAGAAAATTAAGTGATGCGATTATTAAAATGTAAATTACGTAAAGTTATGAATTTATGTGCGGACTAATGAAGTAAGATGTTTGTTGGTTGACTGTCATTGTGTTGAATGAATATTGTCTAGACTACACTCAGGTTCCATATACTTGAGCATAAATAGTTTAACTCAATGTAAAGTAATCCAATTCATTGTATGGCATACCGATTGTGTATCCGGCCTAATGGTGGTATAATTCTCGATTATTGGTCGGCTATATTATCTTATAACTAATAGTCAATAGCACTAAAAGAATATAAAGCTGTTTAGTTAAATAATAAAAGTTCAGTCATTTATAAACTTACTGAGGCTATCAATTCCCCATTAATATACCAGAATATTTTGGGCTTTGGATAACCACCTGCTTTAACAATAAATTTAGCTGGCGAACCTTCAGTGACAGTGACAGCAACAGGGAGAATATCGAATGATGGTGCACATGGTGGTTCTTCTTCTTCTCTTTTAACTGTATCATAACTATGAAGGAATTAAATGACAATAACAAAAATAATTTATATCATCATTACAAAAGCTTTTTATTTTTCATGTTTCGGTGATATTCTTGACTGAATTTTGACCAGTATAGGTTGGCATTATGCATGTCCTGTGTGGACTACCTAAATATAGTAAATCTTTATAATATTTTATAAAATAGATGGGTTGTGGCTAGAATTGAGATCCAAGTTGCGCGTTATATCTAATTTAAAACTCGTCAGCTGAATTGATATACAGCTTTGTGTCTGTATTCATACGGCGACTACAAACATGATGTACAGGTACATCTTGCAGGAGGGTCCCAAATAGGAAGGAACCTGTAAGTCCTAGATATATGTTTCACCCTAATATGCGACACCTCAGTAGTGCTCATTCACGACATCACCACAGAGGGCCGAAACCAGGACCTGCAGGGTTCATAGCAAATCTGGAACATTTAGATTACTAAGTTGATATCCACTGGTGCACATGTCCAACCTCAAATAATTCACTATACTGCGCGACGATTTTTTGATTTTTTTTATCAAATAGTTAAAGACATAAGTTTTTCATATACATTCCATTACCAAACAATGATTTCATATCTTTTCTATTAAATTCTCTTTAAGTTGGCCCAGAAAACAACTGTACAATGTATGTTCTTACTACTTGTTGCCATTTTCTTCCATTTTGTGTCTCAACTTTTATTTCTTTCATTTTCTAAAAAAAAATTAAAATCATTCTGAGAATAGTTAGACAGTGGCTTGCAGTGGGAAGCAGGTCGTGCATTTGTTTTGCATGTCCTTACACCTCAATAATCATATTAGAAATCGGATTTTAGTACGTTCAATCTGTTATCCATTAATCTACTGAGTTCAAATAATCACCATCTTATATGTATGTAAGGGTTATTTAAATTATTCCGTTGTTGATATTAATGACTGAAATCGTTTAATCTTCTTTAAAGCGCTTATGATTCAATAGCAATGTCAACATAATGCTCACAGGATGCACAAATGCTAAAAGAAATCGATCAACAACGGAAGGATTCACTGTATACCGTAATGGTCAACTAATTCTTGTAATAATCTAATATACATATATGCATAAATAAAAATGAAAAATCATAAATATTTGCTACCAGTTGTCAGTATAAATTCCTAAATGTAATATTTCTTTATATCTGAAATGAATGGCTATTGGAATCATTCCATGATACGATGTGTATTTACAACGATTTACTCTATTTAAAATTAATAGGTTTCTTAGACTTGACATCATGAACTCATTATAGTTAGACCATCATTGAAAATCAGTCAATATTAAACAGCTTTTTCCTCTTAGTATTAGAAAGACAGTTCGTAACAATGGCTTTGCTGATATGTAACACTTGTGTGGGCTTATTCTCACTTTCAAACAGACTTTAATGACTCAGATAGTATGTAACTATTGTGTCATTTTTACCGTCTTAATTACTCTGTTCTGTTCACAAGACAAATCCTTTTTATTTATATCCTTATGGTTCTGCACCTTTTTGTATTGTATTTGTTTGTCTATACTCTTGATATTGTCTTATCTAATGCTTATCTTCTTGTTAGCATTATGGATTGTCCATTATGACTAATATTAACACTTGTATTGAGTAATTTTTTGACTTTCTATCTTTTTTACTTCATATATATTTCTGTTCGTCTGCTTTCTAAATTAAATGTATGAAATGCATACATCATAACCACTTTCGTATTCGAATTTTTATTATCTAAGTTGTATTGCCGTAGTTATTTGACAGAATCTATGTACACTTGAGATGTATGAAACATGTTTCATTATTATTACTATCATCACTCGTTCATTATGAAGTTGACAATAGGGACTAAGACACCAATCCTGGTGTACATTAGAATATATTTAACAAGTTAATATAACAGTTATATTAATTAAATTCTTTATATAACCTACCCTGCCATTGCATCACTTTCCCAAGCATCCAAACTTTGAAGATATGAAATTGATTCTTTCGATAAAACTGAACTAGTGACAATATGTTCATCTGCATTACATCTGTGATATAAATTGAGGTGGGGGGTAGTATAAGATATAGTATTTAAATGTAGAACATTCACAATGGAAACTTTTGACAACAGATAACACCAGTTAATCGACAGGATCAACAAAGTAGGACAAATAAGATTAAATCGTTTATATGAGGGATTGCAAGAACAGTTACTGACATATAACGTAAATGTACTGATTATGAGCTACTTCACTAAAATTTACTTATATTTCAACAAATGGGTAAAATGGATAAAATCGATACGAAACAACAGTAATTTAGAACAATTTGAATCAAATAATCATACGATTGAAGATCTTCGTGACATAGAAGTGTTCGATGAAACGTTATTATCAGATAAACTGCAGTTCGTTTAGCCATTATTCAAAGTATCACGTTAGTCTACAAACGAACTTATTCTTTGTGAAACACTACTACAAAATTAAATAGTTTTTAACAAGATTCGCAAGCAACTAATAAATTGAAAAATTTCGTAAGTATGGATTGAACAAACTGGAGGTGTGATATATCACCTATGCTTAAACTAGTATTTCTGTTGTGAAGCTCAGACATACTGCTTTTATTCGTAGTATTTATCGATTCCAGGTTATATATCCTAATACACTCTACACCATTAGATCTGGAGATAAACCTTATCATTTTCTACTTGACAACATTTATTCCACATCGTATTATAGGGGTACCAGTTTCGTGAGTTGTAAAACTACTCATCAACAAACACAAGCATACAATCAGTGAAATCAATAGTCTCGTCACCTACCATACATGTTTATGTGAATGAAAACTTAAACATTATTTACTCACTGTAATTCAACCACGTTGCTTTGAACCTGTCCTGCTGCATTACGTGCTACACAGAAGTATGCTCCATTGTCTTCTGGATAACAATAATGAATATCTAGCATAGCAAATCCCCGGTCCAAAATAGCATTAAAACGACAGCCTATATAAAAAATGTTTCATAACGGTTTGTGTATTAAAATAAAATGAATTAAGTGTTTAATGTTTCATGAAAATAAACAGTTGCCTGTATTAATCAGTTCTGAGAAAACACAATGTTAATAAAGTGAACAGGCGTGATGAACAAACGGTTTCGATCAATTTTTAGATCTGAAAACAAGAAATTATAATCTACCTACTTTTTAGTATAGTTATTTATGCTAAATATGTTTTTCTAATGACTGGACATTAACGAATGGCGAAAGGTAGGAAAGAAAATTTAATGAATGTTAGTGGAAATGACTTTAACAACTTTATACTTTGTATAAAGGGACTTGTAGAGATTGTAGAGTTTTCACAGTTTAAATCATCAACTGATATTGGTTAGATCACCAATGAAAACCTGAAAGTACTGGATGGCTGTTTCGTCTTAGTGTGGGACTCCTCAGCAGAGAGCATCCGCCACTCCACCACAGGGGATTAGATCCAGGATGTTCGGTCTCGAAAGTGGACCCCTGACCTCCAGTCCACTAAGCCGACATCCAATTGGTGTACATACCTAACTTCAATCAATTTGTGATATTGCGTAGCCGTCGTCCATAACTTGCAGTAGATAACTATCTAAAACCCGGCACAGTTGTAAGACACGGTAGTCAAGCTAAGATCATGTTTAAATCCAAATGTATTATTCCTAAAATGATCCTAATCGGTTCTCAGGCCAATAAATATTTCCATTGAAATAAGGTATAAGGAACACTTGTTGTTTATTGAAGCCAACTGAGGTCCGTGAAAGCTTTCTATCAGTGCCGCTTTCATTATTTCATCGATTGTACCTGAAAATTCATCACAAAATTACTACTTTTCAACATAGAAATGCATATTGATCTCAACTTTATTCGTTCATATATTTTATATCCGATTATTCTGATAACTATGATTCGTTTAGTTACATTTCGAACATTCATCTAAACTGCACAAACTAAAGTATATTCAATAGTTTGTTTCTAATTATCTTAACAAGTGTACTTTTGAATTGTATACAGCTGGTAAGAAGCTGTGAAACAGATCTATGAACTCACACGACTTTATTTTCTTGCACTGTTTAAATTCATCAAAGGATTTAGTTGCAAGAAATTAACATATCATAATGAGTGTGGAAGGTCCTGTGTTCGAGTCACTCATGCGGGGTCGTGGATGCGCACTGCTGGGAAGTTCCATACGAGAACGAAACGGCCGTCCAGTGCTTCCAGGTTTTCAGTGGTGGTCTAGCTTTAATCGACTCATGAATTCTACTATTAATTTACTACAAAACCCAATTGTAATAAAAAAAAATATGTCATATACAAAAAATCTGTTCAGTAGTCTGTCTCGTTGTTTTAATCAATTTTATTTTTTTTAATTCAGTACATAGTTCAACGGTTGTACTAGTGACGATCGTAATGAGGTACAGCTATAAAATCTTCCGGATAATCACTAAATGATTAAACAATCCCCCCAAAAAAAGATTTTCTCCGCTAACTCTAATTATGATAGTTTGTATTAGCTAAAGTTAGAATGCAAATATTAAAATTATTTATTCCAAAGTGATAATGATTGATAAATAACATCAACTTAAAGATCTGAGCTTCATACTCGATGATATGACCTCTGACAAAAGTTTTTTTCATTCTCTCAATTTAATAGTAATTATGCGTAGATATTCACAACTAAAAGAAGTTTCAGTGAAACAAAACTTTAATCTCTTTAAACATTTGAGTTAAACAGTCGATATAAAAAAGTATAATTATACGTACCCATGCTCACAGGTTTGCCATCTTTATACCATTCAACTGTTAACGAAGGATCATTTGTGGGTTCTACACATGTTTCGAAATGTGCTGGAGCCGATTCACGAAGACCAACTTGTGGTGCAAGTGGTTTAAGAAAATTTGGTGGATTTGTTGGACGTATATCATCATGATAACGATTAGCTCTATCTAATCCATTTCTTACTAAATGATCTTCCATCATAGCTAAATTTGCAATCATAGATTCTTCTGGCAATTGAGTTTCAGTGACAACTCCCTCTTCTGGTATAATTCTAAATAAATAAAATAGAATTAACTTATATGTTTGATAATTAATTAAAAAATAAAAACGACTAACAAACGGAGACTACACGAGGGATACTTCTAGGAGAAAATAAAACTCATGAAACAATTGAACCTATAACCCTATATAATTTTAAAAAATTTCAGCAAACGCGAGCTAGAAAATGAAAATGATTGACCGAAACTGCATTAATCTTTTCTCATACTACTTGAAATAACTGCAAACAATTAGATAAATATTCCCATTATAATGTAAAACTGTAAAACATGTTGACAAAAAAGTGAAATGCAGAATATAGTCTTTCGACCAACGAAGATAGAACTTTCGGCCGAATCAGCTGACAATAATTTAGACTGGAGAAATCAGTACCAGACAGTATCTCTTACTCTTAGTATGAGACAGTTCAGTGTTAATCAACCAAAACCTTATCAGAAGTCGAATTCTGGAAATTCATATATATATATACATTGAGTGAGCTCTTTTTAGATCAATATTAGATAGATTGTGCATCGTTGAGGCATTTCAATTAACCTCATCACTTGATAACAATGAGTTCTACCACGCATTAATCCGTACTTTCTTATCGTCTGATTTCAAGAAACAAAACTCAATAATAAGCCAGTATACATAATGGCAGGATTGGTTCATCTTAATAAAATAAATTGTAACATTATTGAATATTCTGAGTTTAACAAGGGAATGCTACGTTAACCCACTTTATGATTTTTATATTAAACCATTAATACTACGTTACTCTACCAGAGTTGATTGTTCCTAAAAATAATCACCTATATAAAGAGAGTTTACCGACATTGTGTAAAATTCCACAAACATTTCAATAATAATCTTGTGACTTGAAGCAATATCGAAACAATCCGCACAGAACGCCCTTATATCAAAATAGATTGATCATTTGCAATCCAAAACACCAGCATTAATACACATATATTTTCGACAATACTTTATCATATTTTTGAAATCTACCAACACACACAAACAATATATTGCTTAAAATTACCTCGACTATAATAACATGATTGCACTAAATATTTCTAGCTTTGCTCCTTTGTACCACTTAAACTTGTAATAATTTCATTCAGCTATTTATTCCTGTACTCTCTGAAGAAGCAACTTACACTAAGCCGTGTGACATAAGAAAAATATTTTTCTCTAATTATTGGAATCTTACAAAAAGACATCATTATTTTAATACTAACAGTCTACCCAACGCTTAATCTATTCGAAATTTCAATAGTTGAGATCATGAGTCAATTGAAACTAGACCACCATGGAATACCTACAAGCACTGGACGGCCGTTTTGTCCTATTGTGGGACTCCTGTGTTCGAATATTGCGAGGAGGGATCATGGATGCGCATTACTGAGGAGTCTAGCTTCAATTGACTCATGATCTCAACTATCGAAATTACTATAATATCCATAATAACCCCGTCTGATATTATTCGAAATTATCAGGTCTAAACATTGGTAATCATACAAACACAGTAATATAGTTAGTATGTTGGGAACGTTTGTATTTGTTGTTATAAGATAATGTATTATTACATCAACCAATTACCTGTTTTGTGACGCAAATTAAGAACCCTTTATCTTATGTACAAACCGCGTTTAAACTGAAAATATACAAGTTAATGATACAGTATAATATGCAGAGTGATTAGACAACCTCTGAGAAAACATAATACATGGGACTTTTTAATTGTACATATTCTTTAAAATTGACAGCTTCGATCGTAATATAACTGATTAGAAGTAATTATTACAATGACCACGTAAATTTATATTGAAACTTGTTTCACAATATTTAATTGGTGAGTACTATGAATAAAGACAGTTCTACTACCACGAAATTAGTAATTTACACGTTACATGTAATCAAATTTCTATGACGGTGAAATGGCACTTGTTTCTCTGGTGCCAATACAAATAGACCATTATGTCTCATAAACAGTAAGACAATTCTTAATGAAACTTTACAACCAGTTGCTGTTTTAATTGACTAAAATGTGCAGTTTATCACTATTCAGTTTAATAATCAACTCAATAATTAATTCTGATAATTACAAGATAATGAAAAATTTTTTGGTTGTATAACTTAGTGATGATGTTATCAATATTTGGATTTACCACATTCCTGTAACATTTTGTATTGTTATGTAAAGCAAAGAAAACGCTAGTGGAAAATGAAACAGAAGCTTCATTGGAAAAAATGTGATTATGATCACTCACGTCACATGACAACTGCTTGATTGGTCTTGGCCTTGACTGTTCGTTGCTACACAAGAATAATCTCCGTTATCATCTTCATTCATGTATAGAAAATCGAGTACTGCGTAGCCTCGATCAAAGGTCGTTGTGAAACGAGAAGCTTAAAAAAGAAAGAGAAAGAATGAATTTACTGATATAAAACATTGATTCACTTAAAAGAATACACACAATCTGTTATCTTAACACACTTTTCGTTACACACCACATGCCTCACACGTACTACAGCAAATATGTACTTCAAACATTTTTAACATAATTGGATAAACTATTTGGTGTACAGTTAACCAAAGAACCATAAATCGATTTATACTAGATAATTTTGATGTTTGATTATATTTTCTTGAAAAAGCTTGAATCAGATTGCCAAGAGAAACGTTGAATTTACTTAAGATTCAATCAGAGATTTTACAAATCTATTCTTATTGATATAAAGCCTAATATTTGGAAGATAAAAACTGTGGAAAAATTTTACTTTTATGCTGTTTGATAACTGATTAAACACGAATTAATACCCAACATATCAGAATGAGCACTCTGTATTTTGAGTTGCTTACTTGTCATGTTTTTTTGAATCACATTTGCATTGAATACGAAAGCAATTGTTCTTTATACGTTATGCTGAAAGCGTATCCCGTAGAATTCCCATATTTTATATTTATTTCACGAACTCACCCTAGTTAAACCACCATTAAAAATCAAAAGCCGTTTGACTGCAGCTTCGTCTTGGTATGGGACTAATCATCAGAAAGTACCCGTGATCACAGTCATGAGATCAAATAAAGGACCTGTGGTTTCGTGCGCGAACGCTTAACCTCCCAACCAGAGAGTCAGGATTCAGCGGTTTACATGGATAACCTCAATCAATTCACGATATAATGTGACTACCTTCCAATATCAACTCATGCGCCAAATTTTTTTCTCATGTACAAATACAGAGAGTAAATTGTTGGAAAAGGTACAAAGAAAAATAGCTAAGTCGATTTGTCGAGAAATTGGTCAAAGAAACCTAACCGTCTTATCGTATAGAAAGACTGAGACTTAATCGCGACCTACAAAATACAGAATTATAACTTTTTTCCGATGTCCTCACTATATTTGTCTTTCAGAACAGAGGGTTTACCAGGATACTCCAATATCCTAATCAACTACTTGTCTGGTGACTACTGACTTTTCTATCGAATCAACAAGCAGCGGAACGCCTTACAACTCAACACGTGGATGAATTTTTAATCAGTCGATTTGCTCAAAATAAAGTTGAATCAGCTAAAGATTTCCCTTAGCTAGGTCTAATGAAGTCGCCCCAGCCTCCCATACTTCTCAAACTTAAATTGTGACTGTTGAGACAACCCAAATTTTGTTAAAATAGCCTTTATGTATTTATTTGCTATCTTTTCCTAACCTTGAGTTTGAATTGTTATCCCATAAATTTCTACTCTTTGATTGCTTTCGTTCTTTTTCAAGTTCTTCAGTCTTCACAATAATAAGTTTCTACTGATATACAGGTGTGAAGTTTTGATGCCTGTTGTTGATTTCACTTGTCATCGACGAAGAACGATAAAATGCATTTCCTTGGTTAACTTCGAATAGTTTCACAAACTTAATTGCATTAATGAATAACGGAATAAAGCAAGTTAAATTTGAGAATGTTTTTGGATACATATATTTCATAAATCTGTTAATTCAGACAGACAATATGAAGCGTAGGAGAAAAACATTCCTACTGTTATATTTGGTCAGTGCACATACGTTCCAAGTTCTAGACTGCTCATTTATAGCTGACTGATTGAGTGTATTAAACCAAGATAAATTTCATGCTTAAGCGTATCAGGTCCACGTCAATATTATGAGTTTGTAACATTAAAAACGTGATCCGTATGAAATAAGTGATTGTATGACCCTAGTGCAACACAAAGATAACAGTATGCTAGAAGGTAATTACACTATTGTTCAAGAATATACACTTAAAATATTTTATCAAATGATTTTTATAATAAATCTGTCTGATATGTATAAAAATCTAATGATAAATAAAGAGAACATAGTATAATGAGGATTTACAATACAACTACATACCTGCTGGTAATGGCTTGCCATTTTTATACCACTCAACAATCAATGTACTATCACCAGCCGGACGTACACGAGCAGTTATATTAGCTGGTTCACCTTCTGCTATGGTTAGTTGGCCTACAGGATGGACAACAAACTGTGGTGGACCAGATGAGTCAATACCATCTATGCTAACTGAATTACGCATTGGCTAGATTAAAACAAAAGCAATCAGTTGAATTAGATTGTAAAAAACATTCACAACTTTAGTGTACATAAAAGTATTAAATCATATTTACATAAACAGAACTGGTTCATACGCGAATTATGAGTGGAATGCTTGTGATTTTGTAAAATATGCATATTCTCAATTTCTAAACCATCCCGAACTATCAGATATCTCCTTTATCTAGGTTTTCTTCAGCCACTTTTTATGCATCATCATGTGTTACAACTATTGAGTTACAAACATAACTCTTTCCTTACTACATAATAACATGGAACATAACTTTAATAAGTATTCACTGGGTTGTGTTTGTAATGACATTACAACAAAACAAAACTAGAATGTAAAGTTCATGATGAAGCTAGTTGATACTAGTTTCGGTATAGTCATATGAAGTAATTTATTGAACTTATTTGGTGAATATGTTTTTGCATTATTTTGATTCAGATAATTTTTATCTATGAAACTATAAACGAATTAATCAACTATTTTTGACAGAAACTGTAGAAGAACATAACACATGTAGGCAAATTAATTGCTGAGTAATCCCATTATTCATTTCCTGAACATGAATATTGCAATTCATATGGATAAGAACTTTAAACTGATGATCTTAACCAATCAGTCAATTACAAAGTAAAATCAGGAACAGATATTCATTGGTCCAATTTGCCACACCTCATTAGCACAACAAGATAAACACCAAATTCATAGAAGTAGTTACTTCAATGGTAGTAATTTATAAAAGAAAGATTGTGTACAAGGATACAATACAGGAAGAAGAGATTAATTCATAGAAAGAGAAGTATAAAACAGTTCTAATCTCACAGTCTAACGAAAGACAAAAAGTGTGTACATCGGCGTCATTGTGATTGATTCTGATCTAAAGTAATTTATTTACATACTTAGAGAAATAACATTAATTGATGAATATAAGAAGTAAAAGAATTGAAAATCTGTTGCTTGAAGATGCAAACTAGTTATATTTACATCATTATGAACAGTTAAGAATCAATTTACAAGAAATGTAGAAAAAATATAAGACAAAATGATGATTAATTAGTCGTACTGAATGTGTGATTGTACATGAAATAAGTTTATACCAATTTATTTGATGTAAATTAAAATTGATCTAATTACATATAAAGGTAACGAACTGAATGACTGGAATTAGAATATGCAAAAGTTATGGAGGCTGTTGAGTTACATACACAAAAAGAAAAATAAAGTATTGATGGCAGGGAGATTTGATGATTCAGAGAATATTGTACAGCAAAGTGTAGGTCGTACTTGTTATATCCTGACGAGAATAATGATTGGTAACTGTTGGGATCTATTTATCGATTAATACTATATATATATATATATATATATATATATATATATATATATATATATATATATATATATATATATATATATATATATAATTGTTAAGTAACTAAACTATGTATATTCATATTCCTCTTATTATAAGCTTTATTTTGATCTATGGACTATTATTATACAATTTACTATTTTTAAGTTTTGCCCAGTTTATTAATTACAGTCACAGCCAATTTATGACCTGATCTTGTACAAATGCAATTATCTATTTGTTGTCTGGTCTTGTTTGGCTTGTATATAAACCAAGTATGTTTGAAATATATGATTTATATAGAGGAGGCTGAAATTGATGTTCTAGACTTAATAGGCAGGGCTAGTGGGAAAAGGATCAATCCGGACTCTAGGTTGTTTGCACAGGTGTATGCTTCATTAGTTGGTCGTATATGTCCGGGTATCTAAATTTGGCAATCGTATTCGCAGTAAGCGTAAAGCTAAGGACATAACAGTACAGCCATGCTAACCATGAGGTCATTGCAAAACAGACAAAGGAACATATTCATGTTTCGGATAAAGCTTAAGGTAGATACAATGGTCTATATTGTACCAAAACATAATATTGAATAAAGCCATTAATAATAATAATAATAATACTAATAACAATAATAATAATAATACAAAACAAGTAATCAGTAAAATACAAGCTGAAACAGCTTCATCAACAGAAGTGACACAATAAAATGGTATCTACTCATCTGTCATATACAGTGTTAGTCCAATTTGTATCTGTGATTCAGATGAAGTAGATAATTCAGAGCGCGTGATATAAACATTAGGCTTTTTTTCTACCAAATCCAAGTTCATTGGATGCAGTATTAAATTCACTATCCGAATACGAGACAAATGTGAGAGGCGAGAATTTCTTTTCACAGGATAGTGGATCGGAGAAGAAATTCATTTTGATATTTTCTAAAACCTATAGTGTAGAAATTTTTAACAAATATCGCCATAGATAGATAGAACATTTGGGAAACTGCCTCCATTGTTTGCTCATATCTAGACGATCCATACTACAAAATTTTACACGATTATTCCCTTGGTTTACATTTTGATAAACAAAAAAATACGAATTTGTATTTGTGCTCCTTCAACTATTTGAATGAACTTTGAATTCATTAAATATCATGACGGATTACAAATATTCAGTCTTAACGGTACTTCGAAAAATATATCCAAATTCAGTACAAAATGTTTGCTTGTTCCACTTGAGTTAATGTATATGGTGTAGACTGCATCAATTACCATACCTTCAACGTTCTACAACAGTTGAAAATCGTCCTTTGCAGAATCGTTGTTTGACAGCATTAGCTATTGTACTAGTCACAGATGTTACAGCTGCATGTGACAGTAACGGAGTTGACATCCTACGTAGGGATTAAGTAAAAATTAGTGTTCGCGAATTATTCTAAAGAGAGTTAGATCGGCGAACCAACAAGACTCGGAGATCATAGTGATATAACTTTTCAAAGCGTACTGTGAAACATCCATATTCTTGATTAGAATAATTTCTCTAATCCAGAAAATAGGGTAGATGGATAGCATAGAGGCTTTAGTCAACTAGTTAGTCCTACTCTTCCAAACGTATGGAAAGTGATTAGTACTCTAGAAAAGGAACAGGGACTAACTGGGATGATACCCGAAGAGTTTGTGATAGAAGTCTAGTAACAGCCTATATGAAGGACGTTCAAGGAGATGATAGTATAGAATAACCTGATAGTAAACAATTATGAAAACAGATTGATTGATAGACTATTTAGGCAGAATATTAAGGACATTTAATTCGCCTATTTAAACATGTACAACTGTTATAAAAATCCTAATATGTACATAACATTTACGACATCACACTAATAAATATTGTCTTTTCATGTTTGCAATTGATTTATGATTTTGATTCAGTCAACATATTTGTGGAGCTATTTTATTATATTATTAAATTGTTCATTTTTCCAACTCGCCCATACTGATATGCTCCTTTCTAATCACATCATTTGATTATTATTATTATTATTATTATTATCCGTGGCTTTATTCAGTATCATATTTTTGGTACAATATAGAATTCTCAGCACAAAGTATTTCAACAAGTTTCTTTTTTTTAATTTCTTGATCGATCCTGGTAATAAATATTGATTGATCATCAGTTAGATGTTACCAGTTCAGTAATCAACATCTGAATAATATTCATTCGTTTTATTACATATCTCCAGCTAACAAGATGTCTGTGATTGTACTTTTTTGTAGGTTTTATAGAGAAAGGTCGTAAACTTGTCATAAACATGCCTGAATAGGTTAGGTTATTAATAGACAATGTCTTAGAACAAACAAAATACATAACTTGTTGAAATATGTAGATGGGAACTCTCTTTTTTGGACGTGTTCTTATTAGAGAATGCCATGTTGTGGAACACATGACAGGGTTGTGGATATACACAATTACAAACACATTGTAAGAAAAAGTGTTAATAGAATATTCTGACTAGTATATCCTATATCGTGTATTGAAGCTTCAACGATCTATTTCTTCTTAGATGAGGTTATATTTTGCAGTGATAAATCTTTTACATAACGAATAATGCAACCAAAATGGTTAAACAATGAAAAACACTAGTTCTTTACATCAATTATCCTACAACAAAGTAATCTTGGACATCAATTATATAGTTGCCGATTATTTGAAGCTGTTCCACTATTTCAGCAAACAAGTTAGATCATAAAAGTGACTATTTTACGAGGAAATAATTTATACCTTTTTAGAAAATCATATTCCATAAAACTAGTTATGTATTGCACTTTTGTATGTAAATATCGTCAGAAAAAAATTCACAGAGCTTAGTAAAACATCAATTTGCAATTTGTTTATCCGCTTATTTCAGTAATTATTTAGAATCCGAGAGGGGTTTTGTGGATATTATAATAATTTAATAGTTGAATTCATGAGTCAATTGAAGCTAGACCACCATGAAAAACCTGGAAGCACTGGATGACCGTTTCATCCTAGTATGGGACTCTTCGGCAGTGCGCATCCACGATCCCGCTTCTCTTCCAGGTTCTACATGGTTGTCTAGCTTCAATTGACTCATGAGTTCAACTATTTAGAAGTATGTTGATTGAAATATATATTTACATAAGTTATTAAAAGATAAACTTTCACTAAAATCAATCTAGATTAATCTACATTATTATAAACTGTTCTTATCAAACGAATAAGCTTCACATTTCTAGTCCTTCAATTTACAGTGAATTTAATAATTAGTTAATTATTCCTCCATTTTCATTGAATATGTTTTTAATAATAGTTGAATTTATGAGTCAATTGAAGCTAGACCACTATGGAAAACCTGGAATTTCTATTTTACAATTGATTATAAAACACATAACGTTATTCAATTAAGTAAAAGTACCTATTAAGTAGTATTCATTACAAAGTGATATCGTCTTTGTTGTATCATTGAACTCCTTCTTCATTAGTAATTATATAATTCATCCCAAAGTATGAGTTTACTTGACAAATTACTAATAAATGTAAGTTATTTTAATATTTTCTAAAGAATAACTATAGAATGATTCTTGTGAACATAAGTGATATTCTGTTTCCTTCTTAACTAACTAGAATATCAACGTTTCCCTTATAGAGAAATATCTGTGGAACTAACTTATTAACTATTCATCATTTACAATTAATTAATAAACAATTATCGATCTGTGTCGACTTATTAAATATATCAAATCTAAATGTAATTTAATTATCAAAATTCTATTCAGTGTTACTACTTACCAGTGATTTGACCTTAATTTGTTTTGACTGACCACCAGAAGGTATACGTCTGGGTACTTGTTGATCAAATCCTTGATTAGATACAACAGGTGGTAAAGTATTCTGTGTATTTAATTGATTAGTTTGAACTTGTTGATAAGTTTGAACTGGTTGTTGCTGTTGTTGATAATATTGTTGTCTTTCTCTGTTATCAATCACTTGATTATTAGTTTGTGCACTCCAAGTTGAATGTGCAACTTGTGTTGGTTTCTGTTCAATTTGATCAAAATTAGTTTGTGAAGTGTAAGGTTGGGCTAGTGATTGAGGTTTTGATTGAATTTGAGAATAAACTTGTTGATTTTGCACTTGAAACTGGGGTGTTTGTGAAGGTGGTAGAGGATTTGACACGTGTTGAAATCTTGATGCCTGATTGAAATTCTGCTGGCCTGTTTGATTAACCTGATGACTGGGCTGAATGGTGATTGGCTGGGACGAAGGTGTTAGCTGATTGGTCGGCTGAAAGGATAATGTGCCTGTGTTAGCCTGTGGTGTAAATTGTGCTTGAGTTGGATAGGCAGTTCCTGGAGGAGCGTAAGACTGACTGGCTGGTCTTGCATATACCACCTGACCTGCTTGCTGTTGCGTGTCTGGATGATAAGGTTGCTGCAGCGGTAATTGCTGCTGTGTTTGACCAGACTGACCGAAATAAATGACATTTGGTTGAGCGTTGTAAGAAGGTTGCGAATTACTCTGACTTACAGGATAAGCATTCAGTTGCCCCATGTTTGTGGTTTGCAAAGGGGTTGCAATAACTCGATACTGTTGCGGTTGCTGAGACTGTTGAATTTGTTGTCGATACTGAGTTGGCTGCATTTGAGACAATTGACTCGAACCAACTGTGAGAACTTGAGGTTGCGCAAAATTTTGAAAACCTCCTTTATTAAAGTTGCCATCAGGTTGTCCAACTCCTGTCTGACTGGGATAAGCATAAAATGGGGGTGATTGACTTTGTTGCGTTGAATAATTATAAGCATTTGTTTGAACAGATTGTTGTGGGGATACTGATGTTGGATAGGCACCATATGCTGGTTGAGCCAAGTTGACTTGGGCTCTCGAAAGATTAAGCACTTTAGTTGATGTTGTCATATTACCACTCTGAGGACTTATTTGAGAAGGTGGCTGATAGGCCATACCAACGTCTGGTGATGCCATGATTATCGTCACCGAAATCCAAAGAAGCAGCAATACCGTATCCAAATAACCGAAATACTAAAAAGTTATGATTCAACTTATGTCCTCAGAATAAGTGAAGCGATCGAAGCTATGTTTAAAGTAGTTTGTTTTTGTTTTTCCCAATTTATTTATAAAGCACAGATTGGTTACTATAATGAAACCCAATCTAGTTAACCTATAAATTTGGTTTAAAGTTGCCTACGCACTTTTGTTTCTAAAGATTGTGGGTGTTGTAAAAATCAAATTCATATATAAACATGTAAATGTGTCGATTGACACTGAAATACTCTGTTGCAATTTTTAAACAGTCCATGCTTTTTTTATGTCGAAAGATCGGTTGAATACATTTCAGTAAGGGGTTGACTATAGAATAAATTTATTATATCACTATATTTATGTTAATATTGACCTTCTTGTCACAAATACATCAACAAACGTGGGTGTATCATATGACAGTTAATGTAATAGGTTGCTTGAATAATATCTTTTTCTCTTTTGAAGATTAATCTACATTTCAGTTTTTAGATACCTGAAAAATCACTTTCAATCTGAAAGTAAATAAGCAAGTTAAGCCTTCCTGTCAATAAAAAAAATCTACGTTTATTATTCCAATATCGCCATGTATAAACGTTCTTATAATAACTAAAACATTGATTTTCGTCTAAATTAATTTTTGATGAACGGTAAAACGTTGTAAAAAAACGCAGTAAGATTGAAGGTTTTCTTGGAGTAGCTTACGAAGTGTAGGTAAAACTCAATCGAAAATAGATAATCATTTATTGAATACAATGTATTAATATACGTTCTTTAGAACAAATACCATTTCCATACTTACGGGTCAGATAAATTCCATTGATAATTTTATTACAACTATGTAAGACAAAAAATTCCCAGCATCATTCAATGATTATAAGAGTGTGTAATGTTGAATAGTTCCAGATTAAGATTAGATGGATAACTGACCAGTGTTTCTATATTTTCATTGGTTCTCCAGGTTTTAGTTATCCCAGTGGTTTCAGTTACATCTCCAATGAAGTGGAAATGAGCTTCGGAAATACAGTACTACAGGACACTGGAGAATATGTGTATTTAGGGATTAGTATATCAATACAATATTCAGTGTAGACATATTCTTATTGGCCTACACTACTCTTTCCCTATCACGTTTGGAATCTTTTATGTAAACCAAAAGCTCTGATGAGCTACTAATAAGTTTATCAGTGGAGAAATGTGCAAACTGTCCCAAGTATGCTTCATATGCATATATTCAAATACAGGTGTAAAAAATATATACATTCCCGAGGTATACACATCGGCATAGATGGGCACAGTTGCTAGAATGCTGAACATGTAATTATAGGAAACGTACGCATATGTCCACACCTCCCACAAATACACACATGTATAAAAGTTTCCACTAACAAGTATACACGATATATAGAAGATAGGCTTCATACACTCTATAGTATACAAATAGGCAAGAATGCGAATGTCCTTGGCCTCCAAGCTCAGAAGCATTTGCACTGAATGAATATCCAGTGTTCAAATCAGTATGTAAGTAAATCGCATGGGTGATGTGCTCACTTCTCGTTCTTACCACATGTCTGTTTTGGTGTCGACCACTGTGCACTAGTTACATCACAACTTGTGTTTTACTCTTTGGCTCGCACGTCCCATACCTTATAGGTCCTTTCAAACTAGTCTGTTCAGGTACCGAAAGGAAATTTTTTTGACGCCTCAGTCGTGCTCCTAATTCAATAAGAGATCTCTTTTCATCTAATCAAGGTTAAGACAGAGCGGGTGATTATTCCGATCTCCACCTGACCATAGATTGGTTGATCATTCCGGTTTCCACAGTGCCTCTTCTGTCAGTTTATGTGAAAAAAGATCACCCACTACCCAGAGAGCACCAGTAACCAACTAAAGAAAACTAATCAAGGTAATCGGCAAGACTATACCATCCTGACGACCTTCAGCGATTCTAAGGGTGATTTTGAGAACAGCCAATTAGAAAACAATCAACCAGAATACAGCTTTTTGTGAAAGCTATGTAAAATACAAACGAATGTCAAATTCGCAGTCTTAATAGCACTGACACAGTTAATCAATCTGAAAATTCATAAACCTTAGAACTCTTTAACCATAAATCATGACACTAGAACTACCGAACATTAAATATCTGTAGAACTGATACCACTGCACTCCAGAAACACGGGTTACATCTTCTAGACTTGTTTCAGTCGTGACTTACTTACTTACGCCTGTTACTCCTTGTGAAGTAGTATAGGCCGCTCACCAGCATTCTCCATCCAACCCTGTCCTGGGTAATCCTTTCCAGCTCTTCCCAGTTGTTATTTATCCTTTTCATATCTACTTCTATTTCCCGACGTAATTTGTTCTTTGACCTTCCTCTTTTCCGCTCCCCTTCAGGTTTCCAAGTTGGGGCTTGCCTCGTGATGCAGTTTGACGATTTGTGTAATGTATGCTCCATCCATTTCCATCGTCTTTTTTTAATTTCCTCTTGAGCTGGAAGCTGGTTGGTTCTCTACCACAGAAAGCTGTTGCTGATGGTATTTGGCCAATGGATGTTGAGTATCTTGAGTATACAACTATCTATAAATACTTGTACCTTCTTGATGGTGGTTGTTGTAGTTCTCCAAGTTTCAGCTCCGTACAGTAGAACTGCCTCGACGTTGGTATTGAAAATTCTTTGATATTGGTTGAAAGTTGTCTTGAGTTCTATATGTTCTTCAATTGAAGGAATGCTGCCCTTGCTTTGCCAATCCTCACATTTTGGTATGCATCTGATCCTCCTTGTTTATCGATGATGCTTCCCAGGTATGTGAAGGATTCCACGTCTTCCAGAGTTTCGCCATCAAGAGAGGTTGGATTGCTGTTCTCCGTGTTGTGTTTGAGGACCTTGGTTTTCCCTTTATGTATGTTGAGGCCTACTGATGCAGAGACTGCTGCTATGTTGGCTGTCTTTATCTGCATTTGTTTGTGTGTATGCGATAGGAGGGCTAGGTCAACTGCAAAGTCTAAGTCGTCTAATTGGGTCTGAGCTGTCCATTGTATGCCATGTTTTCCCTCAGATGTCGAGGTCTTCATAATCCAGTCGACCACCAGAAGAAAGAAGAATCCGGTCCTTACTTGGAATGCATCTGTCGGCTGCCTCTATGCATGACCTTGCACTGTAGTCTGTCGTATGAGTTGACAATGTTGACAGTTTTCTCAGGAACTGCATATTGTCGAAGAAGATTCCGTAATGTTCTATCTACACTGTCAAACGCCGTTTCATAATCAATGAAGTTGATGTATAGTGACAAGTTCCACTCAATTGATTGTTCGACGATGATCCGTAGTGTCGCAGTTTTGTCTGTGCACCACCAATCTTTACGAAATCCAGCTTGCTGATCTCGAAGTTGGGCGTCTACTGCGTCTTTCATTCGGTTCAGCAACACTGTTAATGACTTTCCTTGGTAGTTTTCACACTTGCTCAGATCTCCTTTCTTTGAAATCTTGATGAGGCGTCCTTCTTTCCAGTCCATCGGCACTTGTTCCTCCTCCTAAATCTTGTTGACTAGAAGGTGAAGCATGTTTGTAGTTACTTCGAGTTTTGACTTAAGTGCTGGTACATTATCAGGTCCTGCTGCTTTCCCGCTCTTGATTTGTCTGACGGCCATTCTGATGTCTTCCATCGTTGGTGGATTGGCATCTATGGGAAGATCTGCGTGTGCTGCTTCGATGTCCGGTGGATTCAGGAGTTCCTCAAAGTACTCTACCCATCTGTTCCGCTGTTGTTGAATTTCAGTGATTGGCCTTCCTTCTTTGTCTTTGACCGGTCTCTCTGGTTTGCTATATCTCCCTGCTAGTTTCTTTGTTGTATCATAAAGCTGTTTCATATTTCCTTCTCTTGCAGCTTTTTCCGCCGTCGTTGCTAGTTCTTCCACTTATTTCTGCTTTTTGGCTCTAATGCTGTTCTTCACTTGCTTGTTTGCTTCTATGTATTCAGCTTGTGCTTGGACTTTCTCTGCTCGTGTTCGGCTGTTGTTAATTGCTGTCTTCTTGTTCTTCCTTTCTTTGACCCTGTCCAGTGATTCTATGGCGATCCATTCCTTGTGATGCTGCTTCTTGAGGCCCAGAACCTCTTGACACGTTGAAGTTAATGCTTCTTTCATACCTTTCCAGTTATCCTCCATAGTAGTTTCTTCTCTCTTCAGTAGATTCTGTAAGGCTTGGAACATGTAGTTGAGAGCTATCTTGAATTCATTGAGTTTGTCAGTATCTCGAAGGAAGGCTGTATTGAACCTTTGTAGTGTTGTTTGTCTAGTTGTCCAGTTCTTCTTTAGCTTCAGTTTTAAATTGGCCACAAATAAGTGGTGATCTGAAGCTATGTCAGTTCCTCTTCTGGATCTCACATCTTCCATTGTCCTTCTAAATTTTTTATTGATGCAGATATGATCTATCTGGTTCTCTGTGGTGTAGTCCGGTGAGATACATGTAGCTTTGTGTATACGTTTGTGTGGAAATATTGTGCCTCCTATGACCAATTTGTTGAATGCACACAGATTTGCAAATCTTTCTCCGTTTTCATTTCTCTCTCCCAGTCCATGTAGTCCTATGATATCTTCATATCCTGTGTTATCTATTCCGACTTTCGCGTTTAGATCTCCCATCAGAATGGTGAAGTCCTTTCTTGGGCACTTCTCCATGATTGATTGCAGACTCTCATAGAATTGATCTTTAATGTCGTTGTTGCTATCATTGGTGGGTGTATAACACTTGATAATATTCATTGAGATCCCCTCCTTTTTTGTTTTGAATGATGCTTTGGTGATTCTGGATCCGTGAAATTCCCATCCTACAAGTGCATTTTGTGCTACTTTGGACAGCATTAGAGCAACTCCCTGAGTGTGTGGAGTATTTTCCTCTTTGCAACCGGAGTATAGCAGCATCTGTCCCGTATTTAGCCTTTGCTGTCCAGCTTGGGTCCAATGGGTTTCGCTGATTCCTAGTACTGCTGATTTATATCTCCTACACATCGTCCGGACTTTCCATGTACCTATAAAAATTGTTGCTCTGGTTGTTAAAAGAGGCACCG